CCCATTTATTCAATGAGGCCCTTACTGTCTGTGCTGCTGGGGTTATACGTAGGAAGTGGTCTCCTGTGCCCACATGTTGTAGAGTCCTTCCCACTTTCTCTTCTATCAGGTTCAGTGTGTTCGGACTGATATTGAGGTCTTTAATCCACTTGGATTTGAGTTTTGTGCATGGTGATAGATATGGATCTATTTTCATTCTTACACAGATTGACATCCAGTTTTGCCAGCACAATTTGTTGAAGATGCTCTCTTTTTTCCATTGTATACTTTTAGCTCCTTTATCGAAAATCAGGTGTTCATAGGTTTGTGGGTTAAAGTCAGGGTCTTCTATTCGATTCCATTGGTCGACTTCTCTGTTTTTATGCCAATACCAAGCTGTTTTCAATACTGTAGCTCTGTAATAGAGTTTGAAGTCAGGGATGGTAATGCCTCCAGACGTTCCTTTATTGTATAAGATTGTTTTGGCTATCCTGGGTTTTTTGTTTTTCCATATAAAGTTGATTATTGTCTTCTCCAGATCTGTGAAGAATTTTGATGGGATTTTGATGGGGATTGCATTGAATCTATAGATTGCTTTTGGTAGAATTTCCATTTTTACTATGTTGATCCTCCCAATCCAAGAGCAAGGGAGATCCTTCCATTTTCTGGTGTCCTCTTCTATTTCTTTCTTCAAAGACTTAAAGTTCTTATCAAATAGATCTTTCACTTCCTTGGTCAGGGTTACCCCAAGATATTTTATGCTCTTTGTGGCTATCGTGAAATGTGATGCTTTTCTGATTTCCCTCTCTGTTTCTTTATCCTTAGTGTATAGGAAGGCAACTGATTTTTTGGAGTTGATCTTGTATCCTGCCACATTACTAAAGGTGTTTATCAGCTGTAGGAGTTCTTTGGTAGAGTTTTTGGGGTCGCTTATGTATACTATCATATCATCTGCAAATAAACGAAAGCTTAACTTCTTCCTTTCCAATACGAATCCCCTTGATCCCCTTATGTTGTCTTATTGCTATTGCTAGAACTTCAAGCACTATATTGAAGAGGTATGGAGAGAGTGGACATCCTTGTCTAGTTACTGATTTTAGTGGGATGGCTTCAGAGCAAGTTCTAGGACAGGCTCCAAAGCTACAGTGAAACCCTGTCTCAAAAAAAAAACAAACCAAACCAAAGCAAGCAAACAAACAAACAAAAAAGAGAAAGCTTGCTAACAACAAGCCAGGATCCAGGTGTTCATTCTTTTTCTGTTCTTGACTGTGGATGAGATGCTTTTAGTCCCTGCCTTGACTTCCTGGAAATCATGGACCATATCCTAGAATTGCAAGGCAAATAAACCTTTTCCTTTTCTAAGTTGTTTTATGCCAGGATATTTTATCACAGCAACAGAAATGAAACTAGAACAGGCACTAAAACTTTTAGGTTAGGATCTGAACCTAAGGCTGTTGTAATTCACAAGAATGGGGACCACTGGAAGGGAATCTCATTTTAATGGCAAAATCATGTGTTTGTTTCTGGATATGCTGAATTTTTAAGTATCTTTGAGATTTTCAAGAAGTTAGCTAGATTTAGAGATTTGAATTTCAGAAAAGAGGTCAGGGATTAAGCTATATTTTAAGGATATTTCAGAGAAAATGGATGTCGCTGGTCTGAATGTAACTACCTCAGTTGAGAATACAAAGTGGAACGGGAAGGAAGCCCAGGCCAGTCTTGAGGAACTCCTGCACTAAACAACCAGACAAACCCCCCTCTTTAATTCGTATTCCTGCCAATGCATCAAATACTCAAATGACTTGTTTATTACATTATTCTGTTAGTAAATCAGACGAATTTATCTAGGCAAATTCTGCTTATTATCCAGACTTTCATCAGTTCCTTACCAGTTTTGAAATTCTGTAAAGGGAATCCACAGATCCTGTAGACTGCTTTAGACATTTTTCAGTTTTTTTTTCCAACTGCAGGTCATGATTCAGTGGGTCATGAAATGAATTTAGTGGGTTCTGATTAGCATTTCAAAATGAGGCAAACAGAAGGCAAATTGTCACAGCACATGCAGTGAGCATCCACACATTCTTGCTTGGCGACTTAACCAGTCTGACGGCTCTAAAAGCCACAGAGCTTTCCCAGGTTTCTATCTCCATCCCAGGCCTCTCTCTTAAATCCCAAGCATGCTTGGACATTGCCATTGGGTATCCACTGGACACATGCAACTCAAATACGAAGTGTGGACTATCTTTCCCCATCTGTGGGTCCCAGATACGGCAATGTCATCCTTCCATTTTCTTCCTGGGGTCACTTTTACTTCACAACACATCTCATCTCAAGAACTGCTATTAAACTCACCTCTGAATCCAATGCTTCTTCCTACCCTAAATATAGCTCCTGCTGCTGCCTGTCCTTAACACAGCAGACAGAGTGAGTCTTTAAAACAGGGCTCAGGACCAGTGAGACTGTTCAGATCTAAAGGCACTTCCTGCCAAGTCTGATGACCTGAGTTCAATCCTAGAACCCAAGTGGTAGAAGGAGAGATCCAACTCCCCAGAGCTGTCCTATGACCTCCTCATGTGCATGTGTATGCCATACACACATACACAAAAGTAAAAGAAATTAAATAGAAAACTGTTAAAAAGAAAAATCAGGGCTCAGCCAACTTTTCATGTAGAAGGCTAGAGTATTTAGTCTTTGCAAACCAGGAAGAAAATTTTAGTCTATTATAGTTACTCACATAGCAAGCAGATTTCTAACATCTTTTGACAAAAGTAAAACTATAACAGTAGAGTAAGCTGGGTGGTAGTGGTGCACACCTTTAATTCCAGCACTTGGGAGGCAGAGGCAGGAGGATGTCTGTGAGTTTGAGGCCAACCTGGTCTACAGAATGAGTTCCAGGACAGCCAGACTGTTTCACAGAGAAATCCTGTCTCAAAAAAACCAAAACCAAACCAAAACAAAAAACCACTACCACCACTACCACCGGCCAGGCGTGGTGGCGCACTCCTTTAATTCCAGCACTGGGGGAGGGAGGGGTGTGCCGAGGCAGGCAGGTCTCTGTGAGTTCAAGGCCAGCCTGGTCTATAAAAGCTAGCTCCAGGACAAGCTCCAAAGCTACAGAGAAAACCTGTCTGGAAAAACAAAACAAAACAAAACAAACAAACAAAAAACCCCACCACCAAAAAAAGCCAAAAACAAAAGCCATGTTATTTTGCTTAATTAGGGTTCAAGACCAATGCTCCTTATCCTAAAATCAACTGCGAATGTTTATCAGGTAAAACCATCCTAAGAGAAGAACAGCCAGTTGGAGGAACCTCAGCAGGCTGTTTGCTCATCTCTGCTAGAAAACAGTCAGCTCTCTCCTCAAGCCTCGACAACTAGTTTGCTATTGCTATTCAACAGACTCCCCAAGCTGAGTAGCTCAAAATAACAGCCATTTATTACCCGCACAGTCCTGTGGGTCAGAAGCCTAAGCAGGCTTGGCTGCCTCTCTGCTCAGGTTCTCACAAGCTGAAAATACTCTATGGAGGGTACGGGAAAGAGCTTCTCACAGGCTCACTGAGTTGCTGGCGGAAGTCAGTTCCTGTGATCGTCGGAGGTCATTACTTCTTATGGCATGATTTGTGCCACCTATTTTTCAGGCGCCCACTGTCCCATTACCTACTATTTTCCCTCCTCTCTCAACTGTTGTGGTCCAGACTAGCTTGCTTGCTATTGCTTGAACCTGCTCAGAGCGCGCACATTCACAACCTTTCCTGGTGATCTTTGTCATTTGACTTTTTTGTTCCAATTTTTATTATTTGAGCTGCTGACTTTTTTTTTTTTTTTTGAGACAGTCTCACTATATTGCCCTTGCTGGCCTAGAACTCTCTACATAGGCCAGTCTACCTGCTTCAGCCTCCAGAGTGCAGGACTAATGTTATTGAGTGCTCCGTGGAAACCGGTAATATTTACTGAACAAGTGATCAGGTGGTGCTCAGCCCAATGGATACCTTTACAATCTAACTCTAGCAGCAAAGGTCCAGGGAACGTGGAGAAAGAGGAGGGTGGAAAGATGCTCTTAGAGCCACACAAAGTCTGCTCTGAGACTGTGTCTCCTAGAAATGCCAGGGAAGCTACACCTGTAAAGACTCAGCCACATGGCTGCCTAAACAAGACCTGAATAAGGATGACACCAATATAAAGGTTAACCTGAAAGGGGAAAAACTTCTCACAGGGGTTCAACGTTAGACAAAGAACTACACGCAACTGAAGAACGTTGAGAGTGGGAGACATAGTCTTCTCCAGGGAAGCCAGCCCCCAATTGGCCATGCAATACCACATGATCAGTCCTGAACTCAGACACATACAAGTAACATTGTATGGAATGGACAGGCTGTATTTATATATTTAGAAACACACAGACACACACACTGCAACTTAAAAAAAAAAAGAGGCCATAAATTTGAGAGAGAACAAGAGCAAGATGGGGAGGGTTACATGGGAAGGTTGGGAGGAGGAAATGATGTAATTGTATTTTAATTTCAGAAAATAAAAAATTAAAAATAATATTCATTGAATAGCCGAAACTTGGGAAAGTCTACTGCTTTCTACATATGCATGCTTACTAGGTTGTGACATACCATGTCTAGCTTATCGATGAATGTAGTCCACAGAATTTGAAAATTACTGGGGCTAGACTATATGATTTCTAGCGTTCTTTCCCAACTATAGCATTTAACGAATTTCTCTGGGCAGCTACACGATCTGCAGCACATGTCCTGCGAGGGACAAGAAGGTTTATGGCCTTAGGACGACAGCAAGACACTAGATTACTGAAATATAACACATACCAAAAAAGGAAAATAATTATCTCTACACATTCTATAATCACAGATTGGGAAATGTGAAGACAGACAAGAACTGCTCAACGCCCCATAGTATAAAAACATAAAACTACTCTTTTCATTAGAAGATAAAACTTCAGATCAAATGACAAGAACGTTTTCCAGATTAAAATTTCCCTCAAGTTTCCATTTGCTTACTGCAGAAGGGAAGAGGAACGCAGAAAGATGTCGTTCAGTGTCTCTGCTGTCGAAATTGTGTCCTGCACAGACTTGGGGAGTAAAGCCCACTTGTCAAGCAGGTAGGATATCCATTTGTCCACAGGCAGATCCATGCTACCTTCATGCTGCAAAGTTAGAGAACAAGGATTCAGCTTTCTACAAATGCACAATTCTAGAAAATCAAGAAGCAACAAAATCAATTCTTTAGGTCTTTTTCTATAGCTGTTGATATGTGGAAGGAGACATAATCGGTGGTACCAAGTCACTGGACATCCTGTCACTCAGAAATGGTCTTTGGAAGACTGTTAGAGAAACTATGGTAGATAGTGGTTATATAAACATGGCATTTGATTCATATTCCAGTCCTTCTAGACACCTGTTTATCCTACATGTCCAAGGCCTTCACCCCCAGCCACTATGAAGTTAAAATTTTAATTTCTAAGGTGCTTCAGTTTTTTTTTTTTTTGTTTTTTGTTTTGTTTTTTGAGACAGGGTTTCTCTGTAGCTTTGGTGCCTGTCCTGGAACTCGCTCTTGTAGACCAGGCTGGTCTCGAACTCCCAGAGATCCGCCTGCCTCTGCCTCCCGAGTGCTGGGATTAAAGGCATGCGCCACCACCGCCCGGCTTGGTGCTTCAGTTTTCTGTTTCAATCTCCAGATCTTTCCTTCAGTTCATAGGCTCAGGTATTTGTTGTTGTTTTTCTTGCTTTTTGAGGAGTATTGTAGCCCTGACTGGCTTCGAACTCGCAGAAATCTGTCTGCTTCTACTTCCTGAGTGCCACCACGCCAGGACCCCAAATTTTTAATTTTTGAGGGTCTCAGGTAGTCTAGTCTGACCTCGAATTTACAAAGTTGTTAAGGGATGACTTTGAACTTTTGCTGCCTCCACGCCCCAAAGGCTGGGATAACAGACAACACACCAGGCTCTCCAGTACTTTGGCCATTCGTGCTTTTAGGAACACCACTACCCTCGCTCGGAATCCACCTGACAAATTCCCACACATACTTGACTCAGTTTAAATGGCATCTCCTCTCGAAAGCCTCATCGACCCCCCCCTCCTCCCCCTACTCTGGGGCTTCACCACACGTGTGGCCCAGATCGCGTCTCCCGTGAGGCTGGGCACAACTCCCAGGTCGGACGACGCTCTTCTGAGGGCAGGGACTGAGCCTGATTTACCTTGTTTATCCCACAGTGTCAAGCTCTGGGCCTGGCGCGGGCGCCGGGCACGCACTGCGTGCATGAAGGACTCAGATTACTGCTTTGACTATATTTAGCAGTAGAGTTACCAGGGAACACCTCCGATTGTCCCCTGGGCTGCCATTCTGTCCATCGGCCAAACGGGCGGGCAAACTTCCGACAGCTGGCAAGGTACCAACTCAGCGGCACCACGCAGACACCGCCGTACCGTAGTGCAGAGCCCCGCCCTCAGTCCCCGCCGTCCCGCCACTAGGCCTCGAACCCGGCCTCAGATGGGTCACGTGCTCCGCTCGCCGCGCGGTGGCCAATGCGGTGGCTGCCGGCGCCTAGGTCCGCCCCTCGCACCGTGCGTACGTCGGGGGCGGGAGCTGCTCTGGCCAATCGGTGAGCAGCCCGCCGGACCCTCGGCAGTGAGGCTCGGGCGGTGCCGGAGCGCGAGCGCGGGAGTTAGCGGTGCAGCCATGGTGGGACACCTGAGCGAGGGGGCCATTGCGGTAAGAAGCGGGGCCGATAGCTCTGGTAGAACGAGCCTAGAGCAGTGCAAAGCAGACGGGGAGGGAGCCGCTGTTGAACCAGAGAGCAGCGGGGAGGAGATTGCGTGGCCACGGGGGAAGCCTCCCGGGGGTCTCAGTGGTTCTCACCCCCACCCCCGCTTACAAGCTCACGTTCCTTCTACCTAAGAAAATAAGACAAATAAACATATACCTATTTACCTTCTGTGGCCTGTCTTTCCTCCCTTTCCCCATTGCCTCCAAACTTTTCTAGAAGTTGTTTTCGGCGGTTTGATTTTTTTCTTCTTCTAATTTTTTTTTTTTTTTAACCTCTTCTTAACGTTTACTCCTATTAGACTTTTCTCTGTTCACGAGAGAAAACGTTGACCGAAGTCATCATGTAGCCAAGTCCGGAAGACGTTTTTCAGTTTTCAGCTGATCTTATTGTTTGGGCTTGTTGGCCAAAACTTGTTTCTGCAAACACTACTCTCTTGCTAGGGTTCTGTGTTGTCCGCTCTTTCCTTGTCTTATTTGCAAGCCCCTCTTTATATTTTTCTTGACTCAAGGCCCTCATCTGCATGTCAGTTGCACATTAATTCTTGCTGAGCTACCTTCTGTCTTAAGGACCGTCTCTGCCCGCTGCCCTCAAAGTCATGTCTGAATTTAGAAAGAATTACTTGTGTGTGTCTGTGTAGATAGGTATAGACACCTTGACGTGGGGATAGCCTTGGAAGCCAGAGGACAACTTCGTGAAGTTGTTGGATCTCTAGCGCCACTTCTCTGGGTTCTGGGAATTGAACTCAGGTATCCAGGCTTGCACAGCAGGCACCCACAGAGCCATCTTGCTGGCCCTTGGTCTGAATTTCTGGATGTCTCTGTCCCAATGAATTACACCATTATCCCTTAATTTAAACTAGATAGGAATCCTTCCCACGTTATGCCTGGTCCGTCACCAATTAATGTATTATTTTAACTCCACACAGATCTCTGCTTTCCATCCACACTGGAACAACCATTTGTCGCCTGAACTGGTCACTTCCAGTCAACACACTGTCCCCACAGTCTCTGCTTACTGTCCCCTTGCCAGACCTTGTCTGTCTTTCTGTCTTTCTTTTTTAAAATAAATTCTTGCCCTAGAGGCCATTGCTATTTCTTTTGCTAACAGAATGTTCCAGTTCAGCTCAGTTGTTCCTGAGTTGGTTGGCAAAGTAACTGGACTGAATTCATTTATTTTGAAACTTGTAAATTTTTTTTTTTGTTTGTTTGTTATAGTAGACTTTGGGCGGCATTCTGAACGCTTTCCCCAGTCTGAAAAATGAGGGTAGTGTTGAGTAGCCATTGCACAGGGCTGGTGGGAGGGCAGTTTCTGGGTTTGTGTGTCCTGCAGTAGTCCTCACAGATGTCAAGGCACGTTTATTTGACTGATGTTAGTTACTTTGTGTTTCCTACCCTAGGCTGTAGAGACTGTGAGGCCTGCAGCCACTTTCCGTTTCCCTTCCTCCAAGTTTTAGGTGACTAATAAGTGTTTGCTAGTTGTATGAACGAGCGGAACAGTAGAAAGAAGGGGACAAAGGTGGGAGGGCGGAGGAAAGAACCAGCTTAGAAGAAAATAAGAAGGGGAAAAGCAGTTGTCAGAATCAAAGGAATATTTGACTACCTTAGGCTTGTATTACTGTTGAAGCTAGGGTCCTGATCAACATTATGGCTGCCATCTTGTATCCTTAAGACAAATTACAAATGATACTTTAATTTTTTGTTTATTTTTTTGAGGCAGAGTTTCTCTGTTGCTTTGGAGCCTGTCTTGGAACTCTCTCTGTAGACCAGGCTGGCCTTGAACTCACAGAGATCACTGCTTCCGCCTCTGGAGTGCTGGGAGTGTTGGACCTTGATGGGCTCTGTAGTGTCTCAAGGTGTTGATGGTGATGGGGTGGGCAGGCCCCTGGTTACCTGGTTACTAGCTAACAGAAGTGTCATTTTAGCACAAAAGCTTCCAGCCCCATTGGATAAGCAAATAGCAGAAAATGCAACTATTGGGGGCAGAAGTTATCATAAAATGAGGTTATCCTTGGAACTCTTGTGATAAATAGGATAAGTACAAGACTCTACTTACTGTCTTCTAGGGTGGAGATCAAACCCAGGGCCTAAGTCGTGTGCTAGGCAGGCGCTCTACTGCTAAACTATACCTCTGGCCAGCCCTTTGTGTATGTAGTTACATAATTCAGTTATAGAGAAAAAAGACAAGGAAATTAATATTTTTATGACTTCCAATATCAGTTCTTATTTTTCATATTAATGTCACATTTTACAGCCAAAGGAGCTAAAATGCAAAGAGGTATAAACTGCTCATTTCCTTGACTTACATTTTGTTGCTTTGTGATTTTTTTTTATTAGTAATGTTATTTGAAAATTTTAATGTACTCTTTAAAAAAGATTTGTTTATGTATTTTATATATATGGATGTTTTGTCTACATGGACATCTGCATACCAAAAGGCATCAGATTGCTTTATTATAGACAGTTGTGAGTCACCATTGGAGTACTAGGAGTTGAAGTCAGAACCTATGGGAAGAGCAGCCAGTGCTCTTAACCCCTGAGCCATCTCTTCAGCCCCAATTTAAGGTACTTTTAAGTGTATGTGTTATAATATGTCCCAGAGAAAATTTTTCCTTTGAGTGTTTATAATTCATTTTAAATTAAGAACAATAAAGTAATAATCTGCATGTGATTTTAAAGTTAAATAGAATAGAAAGGTGCTTAATGAAATCATTGCCCTTTGCTTCACCTTGCCCGGTGGCTTTTTTGGTGTATTTTTTTTTTTTCAAGACAGGGTTTCTCTGTGTTGCCCTGGCTGTCCTGGAACTCGCTCTGTAGACCATGCTGGCTTCAAACTCCTGGCCTCCACCTGCCTCTGCTTTCCAAGTGCTGGGATTAAAGACAGGTGTCACCACTGCCTGGCGGATCTGGTGTTTTGTTTGTTTGTTTTTTGACCCAGTGTTTTTGAAACAGGGTCTGGCCTTGGAGTCTAAAGCCTCTACCTATCTTAGCTCAGGCTGGCCTCCACCTGTGGTAGTCCTCCTACCTCTGCCTCTCCAGTGGTGGGATTACAAATGTAAACTACCACACCCAAGCCAGAAGAAATAACTTTTCAAAGAAAAAGTTGTCCTTGGGGGACCTGCAAGATGGCTCAGTGGATAAAGCACCAAGTTTGGTGATCAGGGTTTGATCCCCAGCACCTACATGGTGGAAAGAGGAGGGACTGACTCCTGCAAGTTGTCCTCTGAGCTACACACACACACACACACACACACACACACACACACACACACACAAAACACAACACACACACAATGACTAAAGATTTAAAAACAACAGTAGTCATAGCTGTAAACCAAGTTTGGCAGAGGTTGAAAATTCAAGGCCAGTTTAGGCCGCAAGATCCTATCTCAAAGTATAAAGAAAACAAAGGTCCAGAGATGGTAGAGTGCTTGCCTACTTTATATAAAGCCCTAGGTTTAATCCCAGCACTGTACAAAACTTCTAATGTGGTGGTTGGTCTGTCAGTAACCTCAGCACTTGAGAGGTCGAGGTAGGAGGACTAGAGCTTATCTGCGTAGTTCAGTGCCAACCTGGTCTGTGTGAGACCCTCCCAAACAAGTACGGGGGGAGGGGGGAATTGTAGCTTCAGTTTTGCTTTGGTTCTTTTTTGAGAAACAGTCTCATTATATTCTACAGATTGGCTTTGAACTCCTGGCCTCATCCGTTTCCTGTTTCCTTCCGCCTGCCAAGTAGATAGAACTGCAGGCCTGTGCCCAACTTTATTTTTATTTTTTGGCTATTGTAAATGAAGATGCTTTGAACATTTATGTACAGATCTTTATACATATAAATATTTTAATATGTCACATAAATTATTCACAATATATACATAAATTATGTAATATGTATTAAATTCCTTGTGTTTGTAAAATAATCCAGATATTTACAGATAAATACCCGAGAGTGCAGCGGCTAGGTCATATGGTAACTGAATGCTTAATCTGATAGAAGTCTCCAGCTTCTCCAGCGTGTCTATGGAAATTCTTGTTGCCAGTGCTGTCCATCTCTGTTTTACTATCCGGATGAATGTGTGAGTGGAATGCTGGCTCACTGTCATCTGTATTCCTTGATTAGGAATGACATTGAACATCCTTTGGTGTCTTTATCGTCCATTTGTATAGCTTGTGAAGTGTCCACATTTTTTGTTGTCTTGAATTTGGTTTTATGTAGCCTGTGGTAGTTTGTGACTGTTTGCCCCAGTTCAGGAGAAGCTGAGGGATCAGGCTAGCATAAGCTATAGAACAAGAGCAGATCTTGAAAGATTAATGAATTGGAAGTATTTGTTTTATGTTTGTCTTTTGTTAAATATAAATATCACAACTATTTTTCTCAGACTGTGTTGCCTTTTCATTTAAGGTTTTAAGGGTCAGACGCAGAGCTCCATGCTAGACAAGAACTCAACTATTAAGCTACACCCCCAAGTTGCCTTTCCATTTTTTAAAGCCTTTATGTATGTGAGTGTGTACCTATGTGCCACTGAACATGGGTAGAGGTCAGAGGACCACCTAACATGAATTGCTTCTCTCCTACCAAATTGGACCTAGGGTTTGAATTCAGGTCACCTGGCTTGGCAGCAAGCACCTTTACCCCCTAAGCCATCTCATTGGCTTCGTCTTTTAATAATCCCACTCCCTCCTTCCCCCTTTCTGAGGAAGGGTCTCACTGTGTAACTGGATGGCCTCAAGCTCACAGAGATCTGTCTGCCGCTGCCTCGTGACTGCTGAGATAGGAGGTGTGCAGGATGGTGGCAGGAGAGACGGCTTAGTTCGTAGCACTGGCTGTTCTTCCAGAGGACCCAGGTTTAATTCTTAGCACACAAGTAGCTGCTCACAACAGACTGTAACTCCGGTTTTCCTTTTCTGAATTGCACTTTCGTATTCTAAATTTTTACTTATCTCTAGGTTACAAATCTTTTATCTCATGTTTTTCTCCTAAATTTCTAAAATTTTAGATTTGCTTTTAAACCAGTGACATTTCAGGTTAACTTGGTTAATTAACTAGTTAATTATTTTGTATGTGCGTGTGTATGCAGATCCATGTGCATAGGTGTGTAGACCCGGATTCAACTTTGGGTGTTGTTTGAGACAGGGTCTCTCACAGTGACCTGCAGTTTGCCGAGTATATTAGGCTGGTTGACAGGCCAGGGAGCCCCAGGTTTCTGCCTGTCTTTATCTCACTAGCACTGGAATTACAAGCATCTGCCGCCACATGGAACATTTCAAAACACAGGTTCTGGGTCTCAAACTCAGGTCACCAGGCATTGTCAAGCATACAGCCCAGTCTTGGGTTTACTTTTGTGTATGTGGTTTGTTGACACCACCAATTTTGTTCCTTTGAGGTACTTTTGAGTTTGACAATATCCATTGAGTATGTAGGACCTGGTCTTGAACTCATGATCTTCTTGCCTCGGTCTCCTGGGTCTTGAGATTTACAGGCATGGCCTGGAGGAATGGCTCAGCCATTAAAGGCTAGGCTCACAACCAAATATATAGGAGATTTACAGGCATGTGCGACCAAGCTCTGCTGTGCGTTTCTGTTAGCATGCATTAGTCTTGTGGAAAACACTTTACAGATCTTCCACGTTTGATATGTTTTATTTGATCAAAAATTCATATTCCTGCTGAGTGTGGTGGCGCTCACCTGTAATGCCAGCACTGGAGGCCGAGACAGGAAGGTCTCAGGATCAACTAGAGATACATAGCAAAGGTGGTGCCCCATTCCCTATTATGTACTATCACCACTGATTTCATGGGAAGACTCTTAAGTATTGGGCGCTAGAAGTCTTCCGCAGGGACTTAGCAGACTTGGGCTCCATGAGACCCTATCTTTAAACCAGTAACCAAGTTTTAAAAACAAACAAATAATAAAGCTCAAGGTAGATAATGTAAGTGTTCAAACATTCCAGTTTCCCCAAGAAAACAGCACTACTTTTGAAACACATATTAATGTACTTTTCTTTCAAAACTGGCACTTTCATGATTTGTCCAATGATAAAACTTTTCTACTGGTTACCTCTGACAGGTTCTCTTGAATTTAGTTTGGCTTTCTCTTATTGTTAGTGTGACATGACAGGACAGAGCACATGGAGGTGAGAAGACAACTTTCAAGAGTTTGTTGTTTCCTTCCCAGTTCCTGGGTTCAAGGTCTGGTTCTCAGACCTGTGCAGGCGCACTTTTGCCCACCGAGCCATCATGATGGTCCTGGCGGGGCAAGCTCTTATGATGATAGTATCTCTAGTTTATTCTAAATAGCTAACTGTCCAAAATAAATAAATAAAATCTTTAAGTTGTTTTTCAACTTTTTCATAAGAATCTTTTTTTCTTTTTCAGTCCATAATGCAAAAGGGAGATACATCCATAAAGCCTGTCCTTCAAGTCATTGTAAGTACCTGCATGTGTTTGAAGCAGGGCAAAAATGTTTCGGTTCTAATATGTAATTAGAAATTGCATTTGATGAGAGACATACAGTTTTATCTACTTCCCAGAACACACACTCTTACACGCACATATACACACACATGCACTTTCTCTGCTCCATTCCCAGAATCCACTTACACTCATTCTCTCTCATACACACACCCCACACACAAATAGATACTAACATTTTTGATGAGCTTTACCACTTAAATTTCTTTTAATTAATTGAACCATCATTTAAGATTCTAAAATGTAATGTGGATTTCCGATATCAGAAGAGAGACTCCAGGATCATTCCTTCAGCTTTTTAAAAAATTATTTGTTTATTGGTTTTTCAAGACAGGGTTTCTCTGTGTAAAGTGCTGACTATCCTAGAACTTGCTTTGTAGACCAGGCTGTCCTCGAACTCATTGAGCTCCCACCTTTTTCTGTCTCCAGAGTACTGGGATTAAACGTATGTGCCACCACCGCCAGGCCTAACTTATTTATTTTTATTTCATGTGCATTTGTGTTTTTACCTTCATGTATGCCCATATGAAGGTATCAGATTCCCTGGAACTGGAGTTACAGGATGTAGCAGAATTAATAAAAACCCAGAGACATATATTGGGGTTCAACTTGAAGACCAGAAAAGCAAAGCAGCTTGCCACTGGCTCTTAGCTCTACTTCAATCCAAAAATGGCAATTCTGCCTCCAGGAATCCTCTCCTGTTTTATATTCCTCTCTAGTGCTGGGATTTAACTACAACACATAGCTGTGAGCTGCTCTGTTGGTGTGGGGAATTGAACTTGGGTCCTCTGGAAGGGCAGCCAGTGCCCTTAACCACTGACCACTGAGCGATCTCTCCAGCCCCATTTCGTGCAGTGGTTTTTTTTTTTTTTTGTTTTGTTTTTTCGAGACAGGGTTTCTCCGTAGCTTTTGGTTCCTGTCCTGGAACTAGCTCTTGTAGTCCAGGCTGGCCTCGAACTCACAGAGATCCGCCTGTCTCTGCCTCCCGAGTGCTGGGATTAAAGGCATGCGCCACCACCGCCTGGCTTCGTGCAGATTTTGAAACAGTAGGTGAAGATAGTCACCCCTCCTGGGCTCTGTTTGCTTAGTCAGCTTCCTTCAGAAGCTGCCCCTGCCCCCTTCAGGCCAGGACAGTGTCTGCTCTGCCCCAGTCATTCTGTCCACATGGTGCTAGGTGCTATCCTATCTGCTTCTGTCTACACCAGCTGTGAGTTGCTTTAGGGAAATTGTTTTCTTTCCATTTTTAATTTTACTTTGCATTTTCTGCATGTTCCCTAAACAGTTCCTTGCGTGTGTTAGGTGCCATTTTATACATAATTTTGAGATACAGGAGAGGGAACACATAATTATTGATACCTCGGTTTTATTTTGTTTTTAATAATGTTAGTGGAGAGAGTTTGGTGGGAAAAACCATCAATCCAATTTTTTTTCATTTGTGTTTAGGTGTCAGGAGGATGGGCAAGCAGTTCATCTTGTTTTAAGGGCAGGTCCTTTCTTCTGCCACTTAGGTTTACTTACCCTTAGGGATTAGGCTGACAGCCCGGTTAATGAATCAGCTTTTCTATCAACTTTTCTAGAACATCCGTCCCATTACTACAGGGAATAGTCCACCCCGGTATCGACTGCTTATGAGTGATGGATTGAACACGCTCTCCTGTGAGTACGATGAGTAGATCTAGGCTCTGGGAATGCTTGAATAGCAGCAGCTCACCGTGCCCTTTGATTGCGGTGTGTGGAGCACCTGAAGTCCACGCTGGTGCTGGCAGAGAGCCGGTCTGACAGTAGACTGGATGAAGGGGAAAGCTGCCATTCAGATTAATTAATTTTCTCTAACTGGTGTTGTGTGTTTTCTTTGATTAATTTCCCTGAGGATAGTATTGACATTTTGTGAGTGTGATGGGTGAGCCATCCTGTACTTACTTTTTCAGGAGTTTTATTTCTATCTTAGAAGCTGTAAAAAGAAGATTGGGAGCGGGGGTGGCTTCTAGAATATTTGCCTGTTGTCTCTAGTCACGGCATTAAAGACCTAGAAAAGATCGCCTTCATTTTCCCCAAGAAACTGGAATGACAGTAAAAATGATCTGGTGTCATCGAGAAATAGATAACATATAGGACCAGCCGATGATTTTAACACGGGGCAGAGCTACACTTGGTGCAGGCTGAGAGGTTTAAAGAGCTGTGTGTAATGATTTTACCCGTGATCAGTTCTCAGATTAAGACTGGGGGCTGAAGTTCTCTCTTTGCTTTGCAGCATTCATGTTGGCCACACAGCTGAACCCTCTTGTCGAGGGGGGGCAGCTGGCCAGCAACTGTATCTGCCAGGTCAACCGATTCATCGTTAACACCCTGAAAGACGGAAGGTATGTGCTTTGTTTTCCACTTGTTCCACTGTAGCTCGGGAACTGACTTTTGGACAGGGAAGGGGACAAGTGCTAAAGTTCAGGGAGGCGTTTTAACAAGGCAGCGAAGAGCTTCAGCTGAGCTCTGTGGCATCAAGGGAGAAATGGCAGAAGAAACAAACTGGAAATCCCAGAAGAAAGAGTAGCATGCACAATTCTACTTATTTCCGGTTTCTTCAGCATTATTGTTAATATCGTTGAATCAACGAAAGAAACATTTAATTTGTGATCTTGAGTCTTTTATAGTCGGTGTGTTGAGCCAGTGTAGAGTTTGGCTGAGTACTTGCAGGATGCTGCATGCTAGAAATGCGGCACGAGCAGAACTGTCACTCCCCTCACTAAAACAATGACGTAATTAAAAAAAAAAAACAACTATTTTAGGGAGAGGTTGCTGTACTTTTTTCTCATTTTTATTTTCAATGATAGGCTGCAACCAAAACACATGGAAATCAAGTATCAGCATTCCAGTGCTGATGAAATTATGTCAATATATGTTATATTACATGTATGTGTGTGTAATTTAAGACTTACTTATTTTATGTATGTGGGTCTTTTGTCTACATGTATACCTGCATACTAGAAGAAGGCACTGGATCCCATGGGACTACAGTTAGACAATTGTGAGCTGCCATGTCGGTGCTGGTATTGAACCAGGATCCTCTGGAAGAGCAGTCAGTGCTCTTAACTGCTGAGCCATCTCTCCAGCTTCATTCTCTGTGTATTTTGAAACACTTTTTTTCAGTTCATATTAACTGGCTATATGTATTCTAATTTTAACATTTATTCTTTCTGTTGTCGATTTTGGATATCTTTTAAAAATTCAATTTAAGATTTGATTGGTAAGTTTATATGTGGTAATAATTTTAAAAAATCTTTTTCTGTCTGTCTTTGAGGCAAGGTTTCGCTGTTTAGCCTTGTCTAGCTTATATAGACCAGGTTGGCCTCTAACTCACAGAAATCTGTCTGTTTCTGCCTCCTGAGTGCTGGGATTAAAGGCTTGGTTGTGAAACAGCCTTGTGGAACAGCAAGTACTCTTAACCATGAAACATCCCTACTCCTGCATCTTTTGAGTACGCTACTGTATGTGTATTACTGTGGTTTTGCTTTGCTTTTTTTTTTTTTTTGTCTCTGTCGTGAACTGATAGTCTCTTGTTTTTATGGTGATTCTTTTAAAATTTGTATTTGAATCGACAGATATTTCAAAATAGATCAATTTTATTACTACCCTCCCAAAATAAAGCAGGTCTCTCTCTCTCTCTTGTAGACCAGCCTGGCCTCAAACTCACAGAGATCCATCTGCCTCTGCCTCCTAGTGCTGGGATTAAAGGTGTGCGCCACCCCCTGCCCCCCTGCATAAAGTGATCTCTGTTGTGTTTTTTGTTTTGTTTTTACAGAGCTGAGCATAGCCAGAAAGGACCCCATGCCTCTAGGCAGTCAGATCCTAGCCATGACCTCATTCTTTATGGTCATTATTTATTCTGGTTCCTTTAGATTGATTCTAGTTTACCTTGTCTTGTTGTTTATCTGGTTTTTTTCTCCATCCCTCCCTTTTCTTCTTTTCTTTCCAGAACTATGTGGTCCCGTCCATAACTCACAGAGATCTGCCTGCTTCTGTCTCCTGAGCACTAAGTAAAGTCATGTGCTCATACACTTGGCAGTTTCCTTTTTTTTTTTTTTTTTTTTTTTGGTTTTTTCAAGACAGGGTTTCTCTGTGGCTTTGGAGCCTGTCCTGGAACTAGCTCTGTAGACCAGGCTGGTCTCCAGTTTCCATTTTTTCTGGCGCCCCCTTCTGGTGTGCAGGCGTACATGCAGACAGAGCACAGTATATGTAATAAATAAATAGATCTTAAAAAAAAAAAAGGCTGGACAGTTTCCATTTTTTTAAAGTTTTTTACAAGCGTCTTTTAGCAGTTCTTACAGGGAAACTTTGTGGATGTTAAATTAAAACTCTCACCTTTAGTGGGCCGGAGAGATAACAACGCCCCATTGATAAATTGCTTGGTAGGCAAGCGTGAGAATCTGAGTTTTTTTTCTAAGAAATCAGGTCCAGTGGTGCAAGTTCCAGGGGGTTGGGGGGTGGGAAGAGGAAGTAGTTGGGTCCCTGGTTGGGGGGGGCAGACAAAGGAGGTAAGTGAGTCATTGGTGTTCCCCTCCTTGCCAACCTAGTCTTAACTGGGAAGTCCCAGGTTTTAGTGAGAGACTGTCTCAAAAAATAAGATCTGCTGGGCAGGGGTGGAGCACACCTTTAATCCCAGCACTAGGAAGGCAGAGGCAGGCGGATCTCAGTGAGTTCAAGGCCAGCTTGGTCTACAAAGCAAGCTCCAGGACAGTTAGACGGTTAGGACTGTTGCACAGAGAAACCCTGTCTCAAAAAAAAAAAAAAACAATACATAAGTAGATAGATAGGTAGGTGGGTGGGCGGGCGGGCGGGCGGGCGGGCTGACGGACGGACAGACAGACAAAGGTGGGTGACTAATGAGGCCCGAGGCCCTTGTTCAGTCCCATGACCCTCATGGTAGCAGGAGAGAATGGTCTCGCTAGAAGCTGTCCTCTGAATGGTGTGCATGCATACGCACATGCACACAATAAATACCTAAGGTTTAAAAGGAAAAGGATTGGCATTGGGAATGTACCTCATTTGGTGGTATTTGCCTAGCATTCACACTGCCCTGGGTTTGGTTGGTAACACCATCTAAACCAGGTCTAGCGGTGTATGCTTGTAATCCCAGTATCTGGGGTAATCATGAGGATCTGAATGAAAATTAAGGTCATCTTCATATATAGCAAATTCTAGGCCAGCCTGGGCTACATGTTTCAAAACAAAGGAAAAATCAAGGTGAATGGTTCCTGAGTATTGATTGATACCTGAAGTTGACCTCAGGCCTCTACAATTTCTTTTGTGAACTCAATGTGGCTTCTTGGTGCAGTGGAATACTGCGGTAGATACATATCCCCAGGAGGTATACTTCACACGCCCTTCCATTTGTACCAGCTGTTTCTTTTCTTTCTTCTTTTTTTTTAGACAGGATTTCTCTGTGTAGTCTTGGCTGTCCTGGAACTCACTGTATTGACCAGGCTGGCCTTGAATTCATAGAAATTTACCCACCTCACCTCTTGCCTCCTGAGTGCTGGGATTAAAGGTGTGTGCCACCACCGCCCAGCTTGTTTCTTTCAATTTTGAGGCGGTCTCTTATCAACTGCCTTGATTGGCCTTTAATTTGTGGTGCTTTTACTGCTTCCACAGCAGTTGGGATTACAGATGCGAACCATCACCCTTAGCCAATAGACCTTGTGTTACATAAAACCAGCCCATGATCTTCAGAATCTCAAACATGCAAATAAAGTTTGTTTATATTTTAAGTATTGAATCTTCTATTATCCTTTCTCATTGGTATGACAAAAGTACCTGATAGAAATCAGCTTGGGTCTTTTGGTTCACAGTTTGAGAGTACAGTCCATCATGGCATCTAGAGTCTTTTTATTCAGTCTGGGACCTCAGTCCATAGAATGGTGTCACCCCAGTTATGGTGGATCTTCTCACCTTGGTTAATCTAATCTGAAGACCCCTTCAGGGGCATACCCAGAGATTTGTCTGCTGTGGTTCTATTCTGTCAGGTTGACAGTATCAACTGTCAACGTGTAATGTTATTTCGTCCTATTTTTTTTTTGATCTAATTTGGTTTATCTTTGGCTCTTATTTTAATGAATTCAGTCTATTTTACGATTCCCTTCTGGGAAGTCTCACTCGGCGTAGACTTTCTTGTTTGCCAGGCTCTTTGTTTCTCGTGTGCCTTGTTCCTTTCATTTTGTACATTGTGTGTTGAACTGTTGCTGTGTCATTTCTTCTTTTCTACACACTTAGTGTGAACAGTTGTGGACAGTTCTGCTAGCCTGCCTGCCTGGGGTCTGTTATCTTCACTCCAGACTGTCTTGAGTTCTACAAGCAGAGCTTCTGACTTCTAGGGCATGGTTGAGGGAGAGGGTGGAGAGCTTTTCTGGGATCGACTACAGTCCTTGCCGGGTGACACTGCAAAGCTTCTCTCTACTGAGTGCAGTTCTGCTCATGGCTCAGCCCTGGCTCACACTGAAGCTTGGCAAATGGCGTGAGCCTGTGTTGTGTGTCTGAATTTATCTGTTCCTTCCCTTTATCTCTCTCTCTCTCACACATGTGTGCCTAGTGCCTGTGGAAGCCAAAGGATCCCTTGGAGTTACAGATGGTTGTGAGCTGCCATGTGGGTACTGGGAATTGAACCTGGGTCCTCTGGAAGAGCAGCCAGTGCTCTTAGTCACTGAGCCATCTCTCTGGTCCCCTATTTATTTTGAGACAAATTTTTGCTACATTTTTAAGGCCTCAGCCTTAGTATGTAGATAGCCTAGGCTGCCTCAACTTCCTAAATTCTCACATTAGAAGCTGCACCACCAAACCCAGCTTAATTCTTTTAGTTGTCTTTGTTGTCATTTACACAGATGTTTATTGACTGTAGCTTTTTTTTTCTGTATTCGGCTTATGTACTTTGTCTTTTAAATTTTTATTTTAAATATTTGAAGTTTTGATTTTACTTTATTATTATTCCATGTGTGTACACACATGCATGTTCACTTGTTGTGGCGTACATGTGCGTGTTCTTGTTATGGTGTACATGAAGAGTTTTCTGGGGATTGAATTCTGGTCACCAGGTTTATGCAGCAGGTCTTTACCAACTGAGCCTATTACCAGCCTGTTTTAATGTTTGTAGATTAAAAAGAAATGTATGCACATGCACGTGTGGGTGGTATGCGCTCCCTCACATGCTCTTAGAACCCCGATGTCTTCCTCAGTGACTCTTATTCCCTTGAGAGTCTCTCACTGACCCCGGAGATGACTGGGTTTTTTTGTTTTGTTTTGTTTCTTGCTAGGCTGGTGGTCTTTGACCCTTCTAGACTTTACAGGAACACCAGCCTTAACTTTGAGGACTCGAACT